ACTGTAATAAATACTGTAGTATACTTTAGTTTTTACTACAGTAAACTGTAGTGTATTGTAGTATAATATACCATATAGTTGTAGAAAACTTAGTACAGTATTGGGTAAAGTCATTTGTTTATATTGCTATAGTTGTTATATTACCACAGCAACTATAGAATTACCACAACAAATTCATTCAAGTACTTTACTACAGTAAGGTTCAAAAACACTATGCTATTACTATAGTATTTTTTTTCACATGCACATTTTATGTTATTCCAGTATACCATGACTAACGAACAACCAATTCTGAGCAACCCTAGTAAAATCAGGTCAAAGCTCTTTATGCATGATTGGTTTTAGATAATTATTTACCGTTGTCTCATGAGTGGAATATTAATACAGTTAGCAGCAGCTACAGCAGCGAAAGGAACAAAGCGTCCTATGAGTGGATACACATGCTGAAAGACAGTGAAATTAAATCATTTTTAGTTGAAACAAATATATGGATTATTACAGGAACACAAAGAGTGAGCACTGAGCAGTAAACACTCTATTTATTACTTTGCAGTGAAAGAGTTACAGCCCTTAAACATTAGAAAGCAAGACCATTACCTTTGCTAATGCATTTAGTCCTAACGCAGTAGCCACGGCTCCTGTAGTGGCTGATACATATGCTGTGCCAAGCTGGCTGCAAGAACAACAACATATATTAGGAATTTAGGGATATTGCAAAAACAGCTCAAAGTAGAACACAAGATAAATGCAAAAAATGTTTATATGCGTGATCTAAAGCCCTCGCACTTTACTGTGATGGGGGCATCTCCGCTCCTGTTGGTGTAGTTGACTATTGCATTAAAAGACTGATTGATCCACTGCCAAAACAGAACTGCTGGAGTCGTTCTAAAAAGCGAGAAAGAGTATACATTTTCAGCATTACATTTACTGTTCAAAAAAGTCCTATAACTACCGTACAATAGTGGATTATACAGCAACCAGCATGATTCACCTGTAGAACGTCATCATGCATCCAGTGATGGTCATGTTCATGGGGACCTGAGCAGACATGCGACCAATCAGGAGCATTTTCTCGCCTGTGTCTGGATGGAATGCTGAGTCAAAAACATACTTCGCCCTCCATAGCTCGTCTTCTGTGAGACCTGGTGTTACCACCCCTTTTCTTCAAGGAGAGGAAAACGGAAGAGTGTATTCAGTGTATAGTGTATTTGTTAGAAAACTATGTAGCATGAATGCTATAGAAAAGCACATGAATGCAGAGTAGAATCTTACTTGTAATCCAGAATAATCTGACACGCTTTTTCTAATTGTTCATTGGACAGGAGGATGTTTCTCGGGTCTGTGACAGTGAAGAAATGCTTTGCTCGACCCACAAATGTTCCCTGATCCCAGCGTGGCTCTTTAATGTTTATGGAGGTGGAGATGGTACACTCAGCTGCCATGGTACACTGTGAAAATATTACACTGTTAAAAACACTTTTTTTTATCTTTTAACACAGAAGTTATTTTTGATGGTAAGTACACTACTGTTCAAAAGTTTGGGGATGGTAAGATCTCTTCTGCTCACTTATTTACTTGTTTCAAGATACAATAAAACAGTAATATTGTGAAACATTATAAGAATACATAATATTAAAATAACTGTTTTCTATTTGAATACATTTTAAGATGCAATTTATTCATGTGATGATATCAAAGCTGAATTTTCAGTTGTCATTACTCCAGTCCTCAGTGTCACATGACCCTTCAGAAATCATTCTCAAATGAAATATTTCTTATTATTATCAATGTTGAAAACAGTAGTGCTGCTTAACATATTTTTCAAGGTTATTTGATGAATAGAAAGTTCAATCATTGATGCATCCTTGCTGAATCAATTCTTAAAAAAAAAAAAAAAAAATCTTGACCCCAAACATTTGAACGGTAATGTAAACAGAATTTTCATTTCTGGTCAAACAGTCAGTTTTACTATATTTCCTATATAGAAAAAACAATATAGTAAAATAACATCTAGTGAATCACAAGCCATTTTTAGATTTTTTTTCCCCCCAGGAACAACCGAATAATGCTTGCACATGACATTCCTCTCCAGATTAAGCCACCGCTGAATCAGCATGTAGCTGCTAAAGACACAGCTGACCAGCCAACCAAAGAAAGGCCTGAACATCAGTCACACTGAAAACGACATAAGGTGCTGCTAGTCCCCATATAAAGCAGCACCTCAGTATACAGTGCCACCCACTAATATTGGCATCCTTGGTAAATATGAGCAAAGGCGGCTGTGAAAATAAATCTGCATCATTTATCTTTTTGATCTTTCATTCAAAAAATTCACAAAATTCTAAACTTTCATTGAAGTAAACCATTGAATGTGGGGGGAAACTCACATTATGAAATAAAAGTTAGAATTTTTTTAATTTTTGGAATGAAAGATCAAAAGGATAAACAATGCAGATTTATTTTCACAGCTGCGTTTGCTCATATTTACCAAGGGTGCCAATATTTGTGGGCAGCACTGTATATGTCCTGTGTTTCTATACAAAACTGGCTAAAGTACCAGATTAGAAATTGAATCTCAGGGAAGGGGACTGATTGAATGGATAGTTCTGTCAAAAAATGTCATCAGTAACTCATTCTCATTTATTCTCATCTTTCTTCTGTGAAAGACAAAAAAATATTCGAATTCGAGTGTGTGTGAAGGACTGACAGTCTTTGTCAACATTCACTTTCATTGCATTATTTTCCATACAATGAAAATCAAGGTTACTGAGGCTGAGACTGCGATTTTTGTTTTCTAGTGAAGAAAGAAAGCCATGTGGTTTTAAATGATAAGAGGTTACTATTTTTAACCATGCCTTTCCAATGACGATTAGAAAACCAACTTCATTATCAAATGCTTCAAGGTTGAGTTTAGATAACAGAATTTAACCATTTATTTGCATGTGCATATTGCAATTAAAGGCATTCACAGTGGCAGAAATGAAATAAATCACGCACTTGCAGCTTGGTGACATTTTACCTTGACAATGCACCAAAGACGGCTAAAGGGACGATAATAAATCATGCGTTTCTCTGCTGACAGCTACAAAAGTGGGCCCGTGTCTTTTTAAATCAAATCATGTTCATGCTTTGCACGAGATCACTTGATGCTTTGGCTTACGCTGCGTCCCGGTTGTGTTTCAATGGTGATAGGAAGTCCGACTCAGTCGATTCTCAGTTGAGTCCGAGTCGACTCTTTTGAGCAGTTCGTTTCAAAGAACCGGTTCGAAAAGAATTCAGGAATTCAGCCATACATCCCAGTGTGGTATTTTAAATGCTTAGAAACGTTTCGATATGTAGGCATTGCTTTATATTACGTTTTAATTCGATTATGTTTTATTAAATATGGTGTTTAAGTAATTTAATGTTCCCAGATCAGCCATAATTCCAAAAAATGATTTAAAACTTAAAAATTATATTTACATTAAGTATTCAAATATATTTAAACATCGTAGCGTATTTCCATAACAAGCAATTTAGTAAAAACGTTTTATGTAACATGTTCTTCTATTTGCCAATAAGTTTAGTTTTATTTGACAATAGATGATTCTCGGTTCAATGAGTCAATTGTTGATTCTGACGGATTCAATTCGATCCGTCAACGAATCGTTCAGTCATTTTTGTGAACAAACCTGCAGACTGCTTGTGTGCACAGGCTCAACCGATTCGCTAAAACAAAGAGCCGACTCAAAAGAACAATTGATTCACGATTCTGACATCGCAACAAAGCGACTATATTTTACGTTTTCCTACAATGAAAACACCAGAACAGCGCGTACACACTATGGATTGCAGTGATAAGCCACTGACCGATGCACGGGCCTCTTGATCTGAACTGAACTTTGAACAGAGAAACCGTGTTTATGACACTTTCCCCAAACAGCCCCATTTCTTGGCCAATAGTATGCATTCATAATTTTATATATTATACTCTGTGTTTTTTCAATAGCCTAGTAATAGTATGCATGCACACATCTTAATTCATAGGCTATATTTTATGTGTTAAAACAGTGATGCTCTTTAAAGAGCAAACACTGTAGTATAAATGGCATGATTTAACGTTATATGGTGTCTCGTTTTGAAATCAACTGTTAGAATTTCATAATTGTAGCCCAATGGCAAAGTATGGTTCAAAACCAGTCAGTACCGGTTAGGTGGCTTCCATTGGGGTTTTCAATATGTCATAAATCCAAATATGAATTATATTATGCTTAAATATAATGTTAAAAATATAGCTCCATATGATAAACATCTCAATCAATGTTAGTTTTGTCTTTAAAAGCATTTGTACAACTCCAGCTGTGCACCTCTTTATCAACCTCTGGATGCCACATCACAAATCCACTTACTGACAGCATAAGCTTTTACATTCTAATGCAGCCAGCAAAAAAAGAAGAAAAACATATCTTGACAATGGCATCCGTGGAGATCTATAAAGAAAGGTCATGTTACTTACAGTGCAACAGTGCAAAGCTCGCCGTCAGACCAAATCACAGCACTCCGCAGCAGATATCAGTCTCACGCGCTGAGGCTAATTTGGTATTTACGAATGAAGGTGAAGAACGCTGCAGTAAACGCCACCCTCTCTCCCAACCAACCAGAGACGCTGAAGACAATTCAAAATAAAAGTTTTCAATATCTTGGAAAATATTTGCAACATGGTAACATTCGATTTATATTCTAGAAAACAGTTATACCAAAAAATAAATAAATAAAAATAAATAAATAAAATGAATGTCAGTCAACGAAAGACTTTTGTCATGAAATCAAAGGAATGCAAATATTTAAATTATTAAATTTAATGAGCTTCAAAGATGCCAAATCCGTTTTAAGTCTTCAGTTTTTATGACATTAATTTTTAACTGTTGATTGTCTACCTGTGTGAATTTTGTGTTCACCAAATAAATAAATGCTCTTACATGTATTTTGTATGTCATACAGAGGGATCGCAATGAACACTTTAACATTTTTAATTTTTTTAATTGAATCTCTACAGAAAGAGATGAATATGTTAATTACATAATTATCTCCAAAAACTAAGACCTTTTCGAAATGCCAGTTATTTCTTGGAGCTAATTAAAACTCTTTTTATTCGAAGAGGGTGCGTGATAGATTAATCAGTAGTACAATCAAAGTCTCTTTAAAGGGTCATGAAACCCCCGTTTCAGCACTGGTTAGTATTCTGTAGTCGTTGGTACAATTAACTACAGTAGAGTTACAGATAACTGGTTAAGAAAATAGCTCCATCTAGCGGATATTTTAAACACCAACCTGTTATGTCATTCCTGTTATGCATAGCATTTTAATGCCATGCAACATATTAAACTCACGATTTTCCGTCATGCTAATCATATTATTTTGTTTTATCGCATTATTACATTTAGTTAACATAAGAATGAATTTTAACTGACACTTTGGTTTTAGTGAGTATTGGCCATTATTCCCCAACTTTTAACAAGTATTTTTTTAATAAATAAACGTTTTCAGATATTTCCTCATTTTTTAAGAACTTCTCTTATCCCAAAAAAATTAAACAAAACATTACATCATGAGCAAGCATCGGATTTTATAAAATCTCTCACCGTTAGATAAAATTACAGAAAATGTTACAATGGTTTTCAAATTTTAAATGATTTCAAGTTTTCACCTTCATATAAGCAAACTTTTTATTTTGCTCTAAGCAATGGATAACCTCATTCTTTTTGTCCTATTAAGTTCCATCCTCTTAATTTTCATTGTTTAAATAGTTGCCTGAACTTGACCAGACCATATTTTTTTAAAGTCTGGTGTACTGTAACCATTTAGAAATACAATAAAGGGATATTCTCTTTTTTATAGATACAGTGCTCAGTACATTTTACTGCATAACAGGAATGACCCAATTTGACAATAAAAATCAATCAGCAACACTGCTAACATTTTGCACTATCCTACAGCAGAGGAAGAACAGAATGTTACAGCTGCTGTCTAAAAAGAAACAGACTTTACATAGATAAATAGCATGAGTCTTTATTGCTGTTCAAATCCCTATTTAATTGTGCTCTCATTTACAAATTACTGGGAAATAATGCAGTAACATACAAAAGCAAAAACAAACAAAACCACTGCTCTGTAAACTAAGAACAATAACAAATACTGCATTGAAAAAGTGCTTAAAAGACACTGAAAAGGGCCTAAAACTAAAGTGTCTCATACCCACCTGTAACAAACACTGCAGTAGGCAATCGTTTAAAACAGCAGTCGGAAATTTGCCAGATGACAGCTCATTGTGTACCCGAGGCCATGCAGCATGAAAATGCAGCTATAATACACAGCACTGTTTTAAGCTCATCACAACTTGAACATTATCCAGTCATAAGCATTTAGAGTGTATATTCAAAATGTTATTCCAAAACACCCGTTAGTCAGAAGAAACCCTTATATCCTGATCAAAAACACAACAGCTTTTTAGTACATAAGAGAGAAAAGTACATGGTGCAGATGAAAGAGTACTGTTACATTTGTGTGTTTGTTGAGAAGACTGCATCTATCTTATTGCAGTATAGATATGGCACATGTTTTGGTCCAAGGACAGGGATTTGTGTTGGAAAATTTGAACAGATGAGCATGTCTTCTATGAATAATCATTGTCCACTGGTCAGATTGTGCTGCAATACTGTAATTTTAAAAAAGCCTTCCCATCTTACAGGAAATAATCTGGAGTGCGACGAGTAACGTGAGGCTCTCCTCTGCGTGGTGCAGGGTCAAACTGTAAACTAAAAGGACATCATTCTCTTAATATTCATATTTGTAACAGCAAAAGGGAATTATTAATCAAAACAGAAATTGTTTTATGCTTTATGTCATATACGTACAAGGAATACTTGAGCGTGTCATCGAGTTCCATGATGGCAGCCTGGTTACCACATCGGTAGCAATAATTAGGTGCACTGAAGATCGTTACAACATTACGTTCATGACACCAGTTATAACCCTGTAGAAATGTTTTTAAAATATATTAGCCAGTAGCTAATCCACAGTTGGTAGGTGTATTATTATCCATGTGCTACAAATTCAAAACAAAAAAATATATTTGTACAGTTTCAAATTTCTATTACATATTTAGTTTCAGATATGCTGCGTTTTAATTTACTCATGTAACAAACAACATTTAACATCTTCAAAAATGATACGACAACATAATTATATACATTTACCTTTCAGATGAATCTCTTTTATTGGGATTCTGCCTTGTCTATCATCAGTTATTCAATTATTCAATTGTCAAAAGACATTTTTTAAAATACAGAATGTAAAAATTTTTCTAAATTTTGTATTAATATTTACATATTCTTTCAATTGTAATTAATATCATGTGAAATAGTAAATCAACTATTTTATTTAAAGTCGGCATGAAACGGAAGTAGCGATAGTCTTTTCTTCTCTACTGTGACGTCTATCCGAGTGAAACGGCATCTGAAATGCGAGGGCGGGACTTGATTTCTTCCTTCGGGAATTGATTGGATTGTTGGAAGTTGTGGCGTTGCTAACAAAATGGAGGCAGATCTGAATGCCAGTTTTCAGTTAGTTGTGGGGGGATTTCTCTCCACTGGATTCACCGCCGACACCCTAGCATGAAGACATTTTTTATTTATTGAGGAAGACGAGGACGAGGACGATCAACGGCACAAAACATACCTAACAGCGCGCGCGCGAGAGAGAGACAGCCTGAATGACTGAGTGCGTCCTCCATCAGGTTAAGTCATATTCATAAAAAAAAATTTAAATAGTTTGTCCTAAGAGTCCTAAGAGTAATGTTGTGGTAATATCCTAATATCCTTTCATAGTGTACTCCCCCATGGCTTGCATCAGCACTGGTCAAGGCATTGATTTCTATAAAGTGAAGCATCAGCTTCAGCTTTTCCCTGTTGTTTATCCCAGCGTTTACCCCTCACGTCACTAGCTCCGCCCTTGCGCCATAGCTCGTGACCGGAAGAGAAGAGGAGTCGTTTTGAGGGGGAGGGGTGATTAAAGTTTTTGATTAAAGATTACGAGGGCACATGAATTTAAAAAAAATAATGAAGTGCACGGATAAATTATTTATAATAAACACTACAGTATTCCATTAAAAAATAAGAATTTTCAATTTTGATTTCATGGTGACTTTAAAATTGTATTTTGACAATTTAGTTGAATAATTAAATAACCAATGTGAGACAAGTCAAAATTTAAGTAAAAGAGATTCCTGAGAAAGGTAAATTCATTTTAAGACTTTTATATACGGGCATATGAATATGTATATATTAACTGCCCCTATTGTAACGGAAAATATGTCATAATAGCAACACTATGAATGCAAATTGAATGATTTTACTCAATTAGCCTACATGTTTTAATGAAAAGTGAAGATGTCTGAAATGTACATTACATATGTAATTCATGGAGATACTCAATAATAACCCTCTTAATTACAGTAAATATTATCAATTTATAAATAATATCACTAGTAACAACATGCCACTTGTGGCCTTCTAAAAATAAAACTTCTTCTACTCCAAAAATCTAAAAATATTAATGTATCCAACATATATTTATACATGGTAATCAATTCTCTTTTACCTCCATCACTAACTGGTGAGCTCGTGAAACCAGAGTCAAGCAGTTGGCATGGTTAAATGTTTCTGAGATGTCCTGGCCAAATGTGTACCCAGCCCCCCTGGGGGAAATCCCCCAACCTCCGCGGTCATCCGGATCTGACCACAGCAAATCACACATGGGACCCTGCCAATAAGATTTAATAAGGTCCTGTGAGTAGTATTCACAGCTGGGACGCTTAATGATTTTGAATATAGTAACACTATACATCTTTCTGATATTCACAGGTGGAATTTATACCTCATGGGGAACTTCTTGGATGCGGTCCAACGCGCGGATGTGATCCAGCGTGTCAATTGAAGGTGACAATCCTCCATGGAGACAGAAAATCTGTGGAGACAGAGCAAAGCTTAAGCTTTATGTGCACTCAAATTACTATGCAACGTCTTTGTTTTGAGTTGAGTACAGTTACAACGGATGAAATACTGTTAATCACAAACCAATTTACCTGTGTGTCTACGAGGGCTGTAAGAGGAAGGTAGTCAAAGAGGTCTGTGAAATATTTCCAAACATTTGCATTTCCGTATTTTCTCAGGCACTCGTCATAAAAGCCATAAACTTGTGTGATCTGTCTACTTTCATGATTTCCACGGAGGATGGTGATTCTCTCTCGATATCGAACCTGGACGATTTAAAATGACAAAACAAGCCATTAACAATGCAAATGAAATTTTTCTTTAAAAAAAAAAATCTATATATTACAGCTGTATCCATTCACGCACCTTTAAAGACACCAGTAGTGTGACTGTCTCTACTGAATAGTAGCCTCTATCCACATAGTCTCCCATGAATAGGTAATTAGTATCTGGTGATTTACCCCCGATCTTAAACAGTTCCATAAGATCGTGAAATTGTCCATGTACATCTCCACATACTGTGACCGGGCAACGCACCTCCTGAACGTTTGACTCTTTGGATAAAATTTCTTTAGCCTGCAATAGATAAAACAGGCAGATTAGACTACAAAAGCACACAAACGGTGCTCTGAACTATTAACCTAAAGTGCATTTTAAATTCCTAACAAACTGCAAGAGGCAATGTTGACACAGACCAGTGATGAATAAATATTGGCATATGCCTAATATGCCTTTGTTCTTGGAAATGGATTGAGGGACCAAATGCGCTGTAAAAATGTGTGTCAGATAACCTAAAAATGTGGTAACTAACATCTAAGCTAACTGGTAATAATAAAATTAAAATAAATGAATAATAATATTAATTACAATACTAATAATAATCATTATTATTATTATTTTTTATTTTATATATTATAAAAGATGTATATTTTTCCTAATACAAACTCAGGTACATCTTCCTTTGTGCTCCACAGTAGAAAGTCAGTCATGCAGGTTTGGAACAACATGTGGGTGAGTACATGATGACAGAATTTTCATTTTTAGGTCAACTGTTTTAAGGCAGCAAGCGCACATTTTCACTTTTACATTGTGCAGGTAAAGTTACAGGACACTGAAGTTTGTGGTTTAACAGAATAAGGTCATACTGATTAATGCAGGTGGACAAATTCTAGATGCGCCACTTGAAATAACCTGGGCATTTTTAACATTGCAATTACAATTTACATAAAATGGTTCTTTTTAACACATTAAAAGAACATAAATTATATATATAACGCAAAATTACGCTGTTTAAGTGTTTTTTAAATTATGCTGGTGAATCTGTACGTTTGCTTAGAAAGCAAAAGGCAAACCCAAAACTCTGCCTGACAACGAATAACAGTAAAGTGGGCATAACATTAACCTGACGAGCTCTGGTTGCTAACTGCGCTGCACAGCCAACAACCAATAGTCACATTCATGGCGCACAGACGGCCAATAATAGAATAATTCGGCACCGCCATCTTCGGATAAGCGGCCAGTGGGAAGGGCGCACTGCAACTGTATCCGAGCCGATAACAAATATAGCCAGTCTGTTGCTGCGCCCACGGGCCGCCTGACAAACACGTGTTTTAACATACAATGCAACACTGACACGGGTTAGGATGACCGTCGTGCGGAACTCACCTTCTCGCATAAAATTTTCGCTTGGTTTTCCGACAGTTGCTTGCACTCGTTCAGTTGCTCGATCCATTGGTCCAGTTCTTTCGTGAACACCTTCTCGTCCATTCTCGACAATTCCTTAAATCATTCAAGTTATGTTAAAAAATAAGGTAAAATGACTCAAAATGCTTTATTTGGGTTTGGCGTCATGCGTCAAAGTAATCAATCCCAGTTTAAAAAAAACAAAGCTGTTGAGTCCTTGGTTACTTGAAATACTTTAAGGCCGCAAAATGAAGTGAAACGCTGTTACTTTTACTCCCTCAAGAATAACTCGATGAATTACTGTTCTCTGTAGAAGCAGTAAACGATTAAAAGTAAGCCTGAAAGCTCCTTTGATTTCGGGCAGAGTCTGGTTATGATGCGCAGCAGCGACGAAGAATCCGCTCATGTAGGCTGACGTCACCTAATCCGCATTCAAAATAACGAATCCTACTACTGTGAAGGCTTCCTTCTTAATATTCATGAGCCAGGCCTTATTGGCAGATTACTATACTCAATCTTTATTAACTAATTAACATTTATAAACCAGGCGTTCGCAATAGGATGGCTATCAATGAACGTCAGCATGACCTTATTAATAGTGACCAGTTAAGTCTTCGCCATAGTAGCATTTGTCGCAGATATATTGCTTCGTCTCTTGTGCGTTTAGTGCCGCCCACTGATGTACAAGGGGAATAACAGTAAATTTTAATCTGAGAACCGCTACATTGTTATGATTTAATAAACAAATAAAGTAGTAATAACAATTATATTGTTATCATTACTATTACTACTACTACATTATGTTCTGTTGCTGGAAGGTTAAGGAACTTTTTAACCTATTATTGTTATTATTATTATGCTCTGTTGCTGGGAAGTGATAGGTCTTTTTTCCTCTGTGTATCTTGTAAAGGAGCAGCGACGTTCATTATGGTCTTCAACATAGCCTACTTTATTTAAATATTGTTATTCTTATACTTAAAATATTTTCTGTCCATACATTGTTTCCATGTTCATATATTTTTTACTTTCTCATATACCATAGCCTATAGTTTATGCTTTACTTTATTTATGTGATGGGGAACATATCTGACTGCTTTTCATTAAACACTCTCTTTGGAAATATGACTTAAATTAAGATAAATAATAATAATTTAAAAATCCCCAACCAGGCATTCTGTATAGACAGTGACATGGTGACATTTTCAAATGTCATCAACAAATAAATATATATAAATGAATAAATATCGAGGACAAAAGTGGCGCGTGAGCTGACACCAGGGCCTTCTGGTATTTGCTAAAGAATAGTATAAATTCCCACCAGCAGCTGACGCATGCGTATTAGCTATTCTTACTATTTTATTATTTTTTCTAGTGAAAATGGCTGCCTTTCAGCTTTAAACCTCAGCGGTTCAGGGGGAAAATATCCACCCCATAATCCAGAATTAACACGATCGTTTAGGAAGAAAGCATTTTGCGGTTCAAAGACGTCCATATTCCTGCGTAAATAACATTATGTTTTTGCTTTCAAGAATGGAAGATAGATCTGTTTCATGTTTAACGTTAACCCATTACATTCCGTGATCCGCGTTCCAGATGCGGTAAAGTACTTTCTTTATTGCATTATTTAACGCAAAATTACATCTGTTTTATACTAAATTCAATTTTATTTGCAGTAATTAAAAGAATAATCTATATTAACGACCAAATAGCGCAGGGAAAAAAAAGATACAGAATGACAGGACAACAATGGACTTGCATAAGCGATATTCCGCGGTCGCTGTACATTTTGTGACCAGACATTGTGTTTATCTAACTGTAGTGATGCGACCTACTTAATGTGTGAATATTTCCATAGTTTATATATAATTTATATAGCTACGCCTTCTTCTGCATTAACTTTCAGTGGTTAATTGCACAGGCCTGTTGTTTTCTTTTTGATTGACGTCGTCAATCAATCACTTTCGATGCACGCGGTCGATGCAAGATGTTGGAAAAGTTTGCAAAGCCTCACATTCAGTTGTTATTTCACAGTATACTTTTCATTAACCACTTTATCTTGTAATATATCAAATGTTTTCAAATATATTTTATTTTAACAGAAAATGATGCACCAAGTAGCCAGCAACAGCAACGACTATGGTCTGGGTAGCATTGGGGACGATGGGCAACACCCAGCCAGTCACTTTGAGTTGTGCAGTTCACAGTCCAACAAATTTTACACCACCGCCCCACCTCCTGCACTACAACTGCCACTCCCAAACTTGCCACCCTTGCCACAGAGCATGATCAAGCCCATGTCCTGCCAGATGCAGGACTCCCAGAATGAATTTCACTCCCAAACCGTTCGAATGAGGGCTGAAGATGCTCCAGAGGGCTGCAAGAAAAAGAAGGGCCTCGGAAAGTCTGGACGACGAGGCAGGCCCTCGGGTACCACTAAGTCCGCAGGCTACAGGACAAGTACGGGACGACCGCCCGGCACCACCAGAGCAGCGGGCTTTAAAACCAGCCCAGGACGGCCACTGGGCACCACCAAAGCTGCAGGCTACAAGGTGAGCCCAGGTAGGCCTCCAGGCAGCATCAAAACTCTGGCAAGGCTTAACAAACTGGACTATGGCGCCTGCAATGGTGCACCGTTCCCTTACAACATGATGCAGAAGAGGGCCTTGTGCGAAGCCACTGTGAAAGAGAAAGACACTACTACCGAGTGAAAACTGTTTTTTTTTATTTATCGCAAGGGGGGACTTGGGATGTGGGTGCATGTCCAAAGTCACAGTGAATTGTGTTTGAGATGTCAAACTCTTGCAAGGAAGAAAAAAAGATGGATTTTGATACTTCAACTCATGTGTATGTGCCAGTGTTATCCTTTTGTGTATCTTTTTCCAAAGACCATTAGCATTACCTTTCTCGCAATGACGTATGTTAACCTATTGTACAGATGTGCATGACAATAGTATTGTGAAATAAAGTTACAGTATTGAACACATATTAATCTTTTCAGTCCCTTAGACTTTGCTCAAGTGAAATGTAGAGAGAACTGCAATTGTATTGTTTTACATTTAATTTGACCTTTTCCTTAATACTTTTGATGTAAAGATACTGCTGGGAACAGTCTTCATCACATAGTTTGTTTCATTCTAGATTTTAGAACATTGCATTTGACTTGAAAAATCTGATCACTAGTAATAACTCCTCTGTTCCCCTGATGTGTATGTGAAAGTGCTCTGTTTGTAATGTCCAATGATATGTTGATCTTTTTTGTTGTTGTTGTATTTATGAAATGTCTGGTGCCCTTTTCAGACAGAGGATGGTGTGGATTTTTTATAAAATGTCAAGTCACAGATTTCAGCAATGACATAATGCTCTTGTAAATATAACTGTGAGTTTATATCAGCCATTGTGTTCTGTTCAACCTAAAATTGTTTTGCTGATCAATGATCCACTCTAGAATTCCGTGTTACTTTTTTTTTTTTTTTAAATCACTGGACTAAAACAAGTCTCAGTTTTGTGTAATTGAATACACCTGATCTGATAAAAAAAAAAAAAACAGTTATCACTCCAAAAAATAAGTTGTGCGGGAAAACTGCTAAAACACATTTTTTTTGCACAAATTATATATAAATTATTTTTTCCAGATCTATTAAGGTGTGAAATTGTCTCTATTATGAAGTAATAATATATGACTGTAACTGTGTAAACAATAGAACGTATGTAGCAAAAATATGTAAACAAAATATCTAAAATAACCGAATTTGCATGTGCTAAATAGGAAATACAATATTTACATGTTGTAAATATGCACATATTGTAAGACAAAACCTGTTAAGACATAGCATTAAAATAACGGTATGAACGTAACTACGTAAAATGAAACCTAAAGAACGCTACTGCACATAATTCAATATAAAAATGTAACTTACATTTTTTACATTCTAGAATTTTTACATTCTTTTCCAAAAAGAATTGTTCAGAACGACTAAGATTTTTGTAGAAACAGCGGGCAATTCATAGGTCCCTCATAGCCTACTGTCTTTGTTCTGTTAAATATGTTTCTATACAAACACTGCAAGCGGATAAGCTATAATATGACCAAATTCTCAAAAAGGGAAAGTTGACAGATTAGAATAGCTTTTATTGCAAATGTACTGCCACTTCTATATTTATTTCTTACGTAATCTTAAAATAGGCCCATAAACGAGTTACATTTTATCTCATGACACAATGGATGTTGACGCATGGCTGTGGCAAGCCAATTTAACATTTAACCTAACTGCCATCTGTTTCTGTTGGTAGTACACATTAGTGCTTTTTAAAATTACTATTAACTACTCCAATAATCATCGTATAGAAATCGTATTTAATTTGATTCATTTATTTTTATTTAAATGTTTTAATTAGATTTTTTTTATTTGAATGTGAATACTTATCCATCGGATATTAGCATTTATTTTTCTGCTACTATCCCAAATAGTGACAAATAACTATTCCATTGTTACAGAAATTAATTACATCTTTTCCCACCATTGAGTTCTATGGTTCATGTCAGCTATTCACTAATATGCTTTGCAGTTTCACACCAATTTTGCTGGTATCTATTTTAGGTTTAATAGTTAATTAATAAACATAATTATTAGATACTAGTACCTATTTCTGAGACACTGGTTTCTGTCAAAATTGTAATATTTCTTATCTCATTGTTTACTTGCTTTTTTACTTGTTAGGCCTATATGTCAGCATGGTTAATTTATAGGAATTAGAAATCTTACTAGTAAGAATAAAAATGTTAACAATTGGAGTACAGCCTAATGTCTAGGCACTATAAATGAGTAGTACCATAAAAGGTAGCACAGTTAGTTACTAGTAAGGAATGCATGTTAAACCCGCTTGCCATAACTGTCTGACATATTACACTTATGCGTGGCATGGCCTAATTTCCAACCACCCACCAAATGCTCAAAGAAAACGTAGAAAATGAAGCATGTCGGAGCATGTGACTGTTAATCGAGACCAATAAATTGTGTTTTCTGCTCATATGATTTATTGTGGTCGGCTACCTTGCAAAGCACGAGCGATCTCTCTAAAATGGAGGAAGTTACGCCTTTGTTAGGACAAGGAAACAAATGGCGTGAGGGTTAAAAAGCAAATGCTCACTGTTGTGTATTCCATGCGCCCAACACGCACCGCGTCGACTGTGACTGTATGCAGGACGCATTTGGGACCAAGTTAAACTTGCGTTTGCTTGCACATTGTCCACATGCATTTAGAGTAAGTGAGAGATGTACCTGGGAAATATTGAATCGGGTTAAGTGGATGTGAATGTATACTGACTGGGGGTTGGGTGTGCTATGCCGATTGGTCGCTCTCACCAGCACACACACACGCAGGCAGTCAGGGCTTGTTTTAACACACATACAACCAGGGGCACACTCGGCAAGCGCGGCATACAATCATGTATTTTAATAGAAATCGTGGCCGCTGAAAAACGTGCTTTCGATGCATTGACGTGGTGCTTCGGGGGAAGGTGACAGGCGCTCAGTTTAATTCTCGTTTATTTATTAATGTCCATTTTTGATGTCGGAGAGAGAAATGAGTGCCGAGGCCGGGCCTAGTGCAAATGCTGCTGGGATTTTGCATATCCGCTTTCACAAATTGACAAAAAGTAACGCTACATGCTCGAATTTGAAGGGCTTTCCGGTGGTTTTGTCGGGTTAAAAAGCAAATGCTCACTGTTGTGTATTCCATGCGCCCAACACGCACCGCGTCGACTGTGACTGTATGCAGGACGCATTTGGGACCAAGTTAAACTTGCGTTTGCTTGCACATTGTCCACATGCATTTAGAGTAAGTGAGAGATGTACCTGGGAAATATTGAATCGGGTTAAGTGGATGTGAATGTATACTGACTGGGGGTTGGGTGTGCTATGCCGATTGGTCGCTCTCACCAGCACACACACACGCAGGCAGTCAGGGCTTGTTTTAACACACATACAACCAGGGGCACACTCGGCAAGCGCGGCATACAATCATGTATTTTAATAGAAATCGTGGCCGCTGAAAAACGTGCTTTCGATGCATTGACGTGGTGCTTCGGGGGAAGGTGACAGGCGCTCAGTTTAATTCTCGTTTATTTATTAATGTCCATTTTTGATGTCGGAGAGAGAAATGAGTGCCGAGGCCGGGCCTAGTGCAAATGCTGCTGGGATTTTGCATATCCGCTTTCACAAATTGACAAAAAGTAACGCTACATGCTCGAATTTGAAGGGCTTTCCGGTGGTTTTGTCGTGACCGAGTCGTAAATGGTAAGAAACCGGCGATTTCTCTCATGTAACGTTACCTTTTGTATTTGGTGCGTTTTTCATCTCACCGTCGTGGGTGACTTTACTGCTGTACGACTGTATGGGAACTGTTGAAGCACATGATGATAATGTAACATTCTTTACTAGCGTTTTCACACTGAAATCGCAGCAGAGGTCATCTTTAAACAGTCCAGTAGGGGCATATCGAAGTGTCTTTGACATAACGATTCATGTTGAGTTTTTCAATTTCTCTTATCTTTGTCTTGATGGATTCTTGACAAGACGGCCTACGAGGCTTGCGACTTAAACCCGAATAGCCACCTTGTTACAAAATCCCGTTTATGATGCTAGCTATGTTTTGGAACATGATAGCTGGTTTCTAGCCGGTTTAAGATGGTCATTAGCTGGTCGACCAGCTTTCATGCTTCAAACAACATTATGGCCACCTTAAACTGGCATGTGGTAAGCTGGTCAAAGATGGTCTTCCAGCTCGCACCAGTTAGAAACCAGCTAGCAGTTTAATCTGCATTTTCAGCAGGAATATCGCACGTGCATGGTGGTGTTTTGCAACATTACAGTGTTTTTGCTGTCAAAATGTCATGTTAATGTAGAATCATCTTGTCTCCTGCATAATTGTTTTAAATTAGATTGCAAAGTTCAGTTTAATGCACAACTCATTAAGTGTTTTTTTTTATCCGTTTGCAACAAACCTTTCAGGAGTTAAGAAAAGCCTGGGTTATTATTCTTTAGGTCATCTTAAAAAAAAAAAAAAATTCTTAAAGCATTTCCCTGTATTTTGTTGCAGGATGAAGCCATGACAACATGAATCAGTCCTACAAAGTGGCTGGCAGGGATGGCTCGGAGTGTCGTGGTGATCCACAGGAGACCAAGGCCCTTGATAGCCGCATCAGCTCCTGTGGACACCAGAGCACAAAGCAACAGGGGGACCAGGGGTCTGCCATGCATTTCTTAAACTCTGGCTACAAACTCTCGGCATCGCCGTTTGTGTACAATCAGAGAGAATCCACCTCCAACTACAGTCCGCTGAGGAGACTTCAGGATCTGACCACTATGGTGAACCATCCCGACATGAGTTTGCAGGACAAGGACTTTCACGGACGAAGTAAATTGCTCAAGCACAATCCCATCGGCGGAGGAGAGTTCGGAATAGGCCTTTATCACACGTCCAATTCGCAAGGAAACACTGACAGGACTACTATTCAGGATCTGGACAAAAATGGTTTCTCACCAGTAAGCTCTGATAGCTTGGAACATTTTCCATCCATCTCAAATGGAATTTTGCATTTTGAGTCAACCCTGTTTGATAGTGGGGACAGCAAGGATAATGATGAGGAGGAGCATGATAGGGGTAATGCGGTGGCACCGTTTAAAGACATGTCAAAGAAGTGCCTGAAAAGAAATCTGGCAAATATAAAGGCTCCTAGCAGCCACAGGCTGGACCTAAGTACAAACAAACATGGAAGTTGTAACCTTGTTTCTAAAAATACAGTGAAGTCTAACCCTCCTGGTAGTTCCTCAAATTTGCCTGTCGAGGTCATGATGGAGGATTTTGACAGTATGGATGATTATTCAGACAGTGACTGTGATCTACCCAGCACTGAGAACAGTGCTTCAATATTCAACTCCGGTCTCTCTAAAAGACCAAATTCACCCAGTGACTCCCATTCGAATCCTGTAAGATGTTTTTACGTTCATCATATTTCTTATTTTGTTGTCTTGATTGTGTTTTTTCCCTAACAGGTGTACGAGTTATATTGTTAAAGAGTTTCCACCTAAGAATGCAGGAAGGAAAATCCATTATTTTTTTGTATACAGTGTATATGTACATGCATATACATATACACTGCATATATATTCATGCGCGCGCACACACACACACACACACACACACGCAGTGGGGTCCAAAGGTTCAAAACCACATTGAAAATCTGTTATTTAAACCTTGAAACAAAATTTATTAAATTCAAAGAAATGTTATGACGTTTTTGAAGATTATGAACAATTTCTAAGTTACTAATCTGGAAACCAAATTTGTGACCTTGATCATGTGACCTAATATGTTTTTGTTTCCACTAAAGCAAAAAGTTTCAAATCACACTGGATAACATGATGTTTAGGTTTTACTCAAATATGTGGAGCATCTCAAGTGCTTCTCTGATTAAAGCAAAATAAAGTTGTTTTGTATTGGAAAATGGTATGCTATCAAGTAATGAAAGCTATATAAGCAATGAAAAGGCTTATATGCTAAATATAAGCA